ACTGTCACTTAGAGAAGACGAAGTATGAAGAGCTAGCAACAGCTGCTCACTGCCTGGGAACTACTGATTCACATCACCAATAAAAGTATAACATGTAAGAATGATGCAATGGCCCTGTGTACAGAATGGAGCCATGGAGCTCACATTCAGCTCACAGGAGCTCAAAACAGTCTGAAAACTGCATACACATTTTAACTTATGAATGAACTCTGATTAGAAGGAAAATGAAATTATACACAGTATGGCGCTAGCTCTTCCTTCAGGGACAAAAATTGATACATAAAATGCAGAGGGAGAGAGAGAGAGAGAGAGAAAGAGAGAAAGAGAGAGGTTAGATGTGCTATAATAGGTTATTTTAGAAATAATGCAGGTTTTTGTCCTTCCTTTTTTTCCCCTTAACTCCCTTTTTGGACATATTCTTTCCATCATCTTTATATAGCCATTTTCTTATACTCTTAGTCATGCATTTTCAAGCTTTGTGCTGATTGAAAAATATGAAAAAAAATACAGGAAGAATATGCATCGTTTCTGCATGTTAGCACAGCAAAACTTGCCACGTGACTACCTGATCCTACACCATTTTCTCCCTGTAGGTTTTCAAAGGGACAGTGCTCCATTTTGATTAATGTTATGCAAAAAAAAAAAAAATTATCAAGAACTAATACAAAGATGGGATTTCCCAGCATCTAGTATGCAAGTCTGTAATGTTGGTGCTACCACTCCCTGTCCCTCTGAGGTGGAACAGAAAGCTACAATTTGTTGACACATCCTCAAAGTAATGATGGAGAGCATAACAGAAAACAGAAGGGGACAGTACTGATTACTGATTTTAGCATCAATTTCAATCATATTTTTTACCTACATCAAACTTTTTTGATCCAAAAATTAATAAATACACACCAAAGACACAATTCCTGCTTCTTCAAGAAAATGAGTATAAGGGTACACAGTAGGACAGAGAGATTCCTACAGAAAGGTATAAGGGTTTCCAGATCCATTAAAGAAAAATTGTAAGAAACTATAAAACGTTAGGGAATTCTTTCTAAAATAACATTTGAATGTGGTTCTTTCCTTTAGAGTATCAAAGCAATGTTGTTTAACCTTGATAGATTGGAGGTAGCATACTTGACTGCCTGTTTTCATATATTAGCTTTATAAAGCAGCTCACCTCCCAGGACCATACCAGCTTGACAGCACTTCCTCAAGCGACACGCTGGACAGTTCTTCCTACGAATTTTATCAACTATGCAGTCATTTCTTCCAGCACATAAATAGTTGTGCTGCCCTGCAGGCAAGAGAAAAACAGGATTAATACTATGTTTTCTAACATGATAAAATTATTTATGTGCATAAATGGTCCAAAAATAATTGACGATTCAAAAAAATATACTTGAACCATTATAACCATGTGATACTACTTGAATATAATACATTTCTGGCCTATTTAAGAGTGTAACTCCTCAAATAGGAAATTCCAAAATAATCAGCAGACAGCCTGAATTGCTTTAATTATTGTACGATATATATTTCTTAAGAGAATAAAGCACGAAGACAGACGAATTTGTTTCTTTCAAACTTATTTTCTTTGAAGTTATTGGTACTGATTTTAAGGAACTTGAATAAATTTTGCTTAGGTTGATATGGAGTTACTGACAGAAAACAGAACGAAGAATTTAGGGCAGTGCGAAAAAAATCCCTTTAAGCAGAGTAAATGACCTCTGATGGATAAGCAGTTTTGTACAAAACCTGCTGAAATACCAGATGCAGCCAACACAGCCAAAAAGGACAAATAGATGGCAGCTGTAACTCTGTGGTTTCAGTTCACTCTTAGTTTATTGTTTAATGATGGAGTCTTTTTTAATAAAATTAGTTTCCAGCAAAGCAAAATATTAAATTCAGTTGATATCCTGCCATTCTTTTGAACAGAAGCTTCAATGATGCTTCCAAATTTCACTTGAAGAGAAAGAAAAAGTACTCTTTAATGTTTTATTGCTAATCTCTATGACTGATTTTAATTTGAATATGCAAATAAAGGTAAGTACACAAGAAGAAAAAAAAGTGAATTTTCACATATAATTTCAAATTAAGCCCAGGTTTACCCTATAAAGTTTAACTTTAAAATCCTGCCTGTGTGTGCACATCATCCTCTATTTAGTTCTTTACCAGTACCTAACACGAAAGCATGAAAACGGCAACTAAAAAGTTTTTATTTTGAGAGAAGAAAAATGGATCAAAAACTTACGGACAAATGTCAGAAGCACCAATATCATGCATACTTTCTTCATGGAATGTTGTGGATGTGGACCTCCAAATATCACAGGCATCAGTACCCAACCTTTTAAATTTTCACTGATTTCTAGATCAGTATTACTCTGAATTAGCTAGCCAATGTCATCAGTAGCAAACAAATCTGAGATGATTATTCTACTCACATGCTGTTATTCAGCTTTCTTTATAACTCTGTTCTGTCCTTTTTCTTCACAGGGTAAAATAAACAACTGTTCACCAATAACCTTTCTCCACAGAAGAAAGACGAACTGAAAACTAATCCTCAGATGAAAATACAGGAGAAAGAACATTCTATTCTAACAAAAGAGCTAGTGCTAAACCATGTGAAACAATGTATTTGTTTCTGTGCTAACATTTTTAAAGATAAATAATTTACTTCTTACCCAGAATTTTAAGAACAACTTGTTCGGTGTTAGCGAAAGAAACCTGATTGTCTGAAATTCTTTCTCTTTCTTTTTGTAGAAAACAATGGGCAAAGAAATACAATTGCTTCACACATTGCCTGACATCTAAGAAGGACTTAGTAATGCAGTAAATCAGAAGAAATTCTCACTAACTTTCTTCCATTAATTCTAATCCTGGATCCCTTCTTACAGAAAACATTACCAAAAGTAACCAAATGAATAAAAATCTGTCTTGCTTTTGGCAGCAGACCAGTAAGCAAAACACTTATTTTGAACACTTCTTCATTGGGATTATTTGCAGTTTTTCCTTGTCTTGCTTTGCCCTTATTAGCTACAAAAAAACATTCAGTCTTTTGACAAGCAACAATTTTTAAACTTGGTTAGTTTAACTAAAATCTATGAAGATGATCTCAGCACTGTGGCATTCTGATGCTTTAATGTACAGTTAATTTACAAAGGAATGCTTAAGTGTAGTTTTGTTTGTTCTTGTCTTGGTTTTGGGGGTTTTCTTTGGTCCCCTGACAGGTGATCTCTCCTGGATCTCCTTTCCAGGGAATCTGTTGAGTCTACACAACATGGTCTGTGTCCATATAACCCATGTCCATTGCAAGACCAAAAAAATGGACTATGTATTTCCAGTATGACAGTAAATGTTCATAAGCAGCTCACAATGCTCTAGGTATTCAAATCGTACCTTTCCTCCTATAATGGCACAGAAAAATGCTGATCTACCAAAGCCAAAATCATATAGTGAAATATTACTCTTCAAGCACTCAGACAACACTATTTCTACACTCTAGAATTACGCCAGTATTTAGAATTCACTCTTGAGATCAGTATGGGATTTGCATACTCAACACCCAAGTGCATGCTCTAACTACTAAAGGAGGCCAGAGACTGTCTGCTGTAACAGGAAATTATCTGGAAAACCAGAAATTCATAGCTTGATTTATACTGATACACATTTAAGTAGCCTGTATTATTTACATAACAGTGTTCAAATATTGTGATTCTAAGATTAAGCACTACAAATCAAATTGCAAAATTTTAAATTAACAGTTACACATTTAAGTTTAGCTACAGCTCTTAAATAACTCTTCATAGTTTAGGAGTTAGCAGTGGATCCAACTTTCACTTCAATTTAAAATGCATGAATTACTTCATCATCACATAACAAACCACAAACTGCTTATTATAAATCCAAGACTGAATAAATTTTTTCAGATTTGCAAGACAATTGTAAGTTAAGCACTATAATGAAAACTGCTCTTCAGTGTTCATATGTTCTCAAATTTCAGGTTAGACAGGATGAAGTAATCTCTCTGTCCAGTGCATAGTACGGAAGCAATGAAATCTATTACTGGAATTTGGTCACTGTAAAAATTCACTTTGATCTTCAAGATGTGACAATTATTTCATTCCTATTTATTTCATAAACTGTATTTTAAAAATCTCATAATGACCAATTACCTAATCTTTATTATGCCTTCACCTAGTTTATTTCTTCCACAAAAACCCTGCCAACCCAACCCTCTCATGAGATTACGGGGACAAAACCTCAGGCACATCTTGATGCTTACTTTAACCACTTCCTTATTTTCAAGACTATTAAAAACCCACAGTCATGCCCTGCATTTGAATTATACCTTCATGTGAGTTTTCCACTCATCTCTATCCAATCTCTCCCCAACATCTTCCATCCCAAAGTGTATTCTACTCATTCTGATTCAGCTGCAAATTATTTGGAAATCACATAAGGTTCAATTATGTAGTGTTTTACATAGTCTTATATCTCAGGGATTATTTTTTTAATTATCTCAGCCATCTGTTTGTATTTCATATCAATAGGCAAATCTGAGTATATGTTCTCATTTGAAACAACTTCTACCACTGTGCAGAACTGAGTTCTGAGAAACTGTTACATGCTTGGCATTAATATTTAAGGTAGCAGCCATCTGAAGGAGAGATTGCACAAGAAACTGAAAATGTGCCAGGTATTTGGTTCATTTCAAAATCGTGGGACAATATCTAGTTAGATGCAGATGTTTGGAATGCTTTCATGGGATGCTAAAACATTCATCTGAAAATACATTTGCTGTATTTCAGCTTTTAGGACTTTTCATGGGATGCTAAAACATTCATTTGAAAACACATTTGCTGTATTTCAGCTTTTAGGACCATCTAAATTTGAATTAATTGCTTTCAATATGGGAGCATTGCAGCTATACTAAAAGCATGTACTAACGACGTATCCAAAACCCCCTGCCGAGATGAAATTACTGTTCAACTGGTAGCTTGGCATTCAGTATCTTTTACATGACTACTATCATTATGACCAGGAAAACAACAACAACAAAGAAGAAATAAATATTAAAAAAAAGACCAGAAAGAAAAGGACTGCAGTCTAATCACTAGAGCAGTGGTCTGAAAGTAAAGCAAAGGCATTTGCATTTCTTACAAAAACATGCGCCTGGGAACTTTCAGGCAACTGACACATTCTCTGAAGGCTTAACTCAATGTTATGTTTCACATACAGATTTATTTTTCACCACTCTTTGAAAGTGTGCATTGAAGATCTCTCTCAATACATCAGTATATTAGCTCATGACCTAGACTTGACTGATAAAATACATACAATTTCATCTGTTACTCAAATGTTCAGTTTCTTGTAGGACAGCATTTTTCTTAACTTCCATCAAAATCCATACGTGTTAGCAAAGGGCAAAAGTGGAAGTTCTAATGTAAATAGGTAAACACGGTTTTAAGCACTGTGCTGACTATTACTATCTTGGCAGGTTTTTAAGTCAAATATTGCTGGAAGTAGCGCATACAATGTCTTTTAAATCTGCACTATTAACTTAGCTCACTGACATGCTGTAAATCATTTTAAATCACTCGAGTAAACTTATGAGTTGCAGAGACTTTGCAGATGTGCAAAATATGGAAAACATGAGGCTTTATTTGCACTGGGGGTATCAATACAGCAATCAGTTTTTTGGGTAAGTGCATCTGTGCTGAACTGCTGCCACCTTGCACAGAAGCAAAGCACTTGTTTGCAAATTCTCAGCTCCTTCTATCCTCACTTTCTCAATGATTTTTTCTCTCCCCACTATGTGACTCTCATTCACTGTATCTCTCTTAACTGGAATGCTTTTCTATAAAATCATCCTATCCCCACCTCTGGAGGCAGAACACATCACAGTGTCTCATTTAGTCAAGTTTGAGATCCCTGTCTAAAAAGTACAGGTATCTATTTCATCTCTTTGCAAACTATTTTACTGACATATGTCTCCCAATATCGACCTTTTGCTTCCTGAGTGCTAGCCTCAAGGTTTTGATCAATAATCTTCTGGCAATATGTTTCACCTCTTAAAATTTTTTCAAAAGTACCGATCAAATCAATAGGTTTAAAAAAACCCCAAGGAATTACTCTTTTAACATAATTAAAGTTGAAATTCCGTCTCAGGGGTTCTTGTGGAAGCTTACAATAAACATACTTTTAAAATTAACTAAATGGAAGATAAGTTCACCTGTATACCTAAACTAAACATGATGATGCAGATGTAGCTTTTGAGTGAAACTTTTGGCTTCT